AAAAAGAAAAAATTTTGAATATTTTTGAAACTGAACGTTTTTCGAAATTTTAGATTCTTCAAGTATTTTCAATTTTTCGACATGAAAATAATTATTTCAAACATATAAACACATATTTTTTTCTCCAGATCGACGAGCACTCGTGTAAAAAAATTGCAAAAATAAAAATGTGCTGCAGTTTCGAATTTTTTACACCTTATAACAAATCACAAAGTCAATAGCTTCATGATTCACTTAAATATCTATAGAGATCAATTTCAATTCTATATACTGTTGAATGTGCACCGTTTTTCTTTACAATAGTAGAATTCATTTTTAACTTCTTGTATAAAACGATATTACACTAATAGTTTGAAACTGTTATAAAAGTCAAACTTTATTATTTTGTTTTTTAAGAAATCGGTCAGCAATTCCACCAAGGTAAGCATAACTGCTGCCAAGAGGATATTTTATATGTTGTATAAATATTGAGCTGTTATAGGTTCCTAAACCACCAGGTATTAGCCAGTATGTTCGATGCAAAAGCCTGATGAGAAACAAAGTGGTAAATGGTGAGTAAAATATAATTTGAAAACTTGATGTATGCGAATATGTAGTCATTTTCTTGTATAGCCAGTTTCTGTCGATGGGATTTTGATAATACCGACAGTAAATATCCAATCTGTTGGAATTCAACTATGAACAACACATTTGATATAAAAGTCATTGAATATGATTATACACAAAGTCTAGCAGCTGAACAACCGTTAACTCGAAATTGTAAGTAAATATTCTGATATCTCAACATTGGCATGATAAATAAACGGCTCTCTATTTTAGGTACTGTCAAACGGTATTGTCGTGCTGATGGCACATGGGAGAAACCTGAACCATTGGCATTGCAATGTAAAAAATGCGATATGACGCCAGTGCAGGTAACTATTTGCAAGCAATGCCCAAAAATTATTTTTAACTATTCGTAAATCACATAGTCATGCTGTAGTTTAGAGAGAATAGGGCTAAAACAAACACAGATAACAGCGACTCATCAACAAAATTTTGCATAGAAAATGGTTGTTCTAGTCTCAGTACTTTTCACAATATATTAGACGAGGATGCTAAAATTTAGTTGGTCTATAATGTATGTATTATCCATCCACAGAAATCATAATCATTGATGAATTTTGAAAATTTAGACGCAAGGTTAAGAATAAGAATGTAAGAATAACTGCGGCTATCATGTTAAGAATTTTAATAGAAGTTTAAGTTAAAAATAAAAATTTTAAAACTGAAACCAACAATTAAAACTACAATTCGATATTTCAACCTATTGGTACGGTCGTTTTCAAGTTATTCTGCGTACAGACATAAAAATGAAAAAAACAGTATAACTGAGTCTTAACGTGATAGCCGCAATTATTCTTAAATTCTTATGCTCTCAGTTATTTTCTAAATAATCTTTTATGACTAATATTTTTTTGCTAAGTAAAACTACCTAAATGCTAAGTTAATTTTTGGTAAGTAAAATTTGTATCTGCTTAGTGAATAATTTGAATGTTTAATAAAATTATTGAACGCTCAATTAATTTAATTTTTCCAACAATTAAAATTTTTGCTGAGTTTGATGAGTAAAATATTTAATCATTAAGTTAATAAATTGAAAAATATGTTTTTAAGATGAATAATTTAATTAGGAATAAAAAATTGCGTGGAAAATAAATATTTTTTATTTAAAATTTAAATAAAATACTTAGAAAAAAATAGTTTTTTTACTTATAATTACTTTTAATAAATTACTTAGAAAAACAAATCATTTTTTACCTGATATTTAATAAAAACTACTTAGCATTTAAATGAGAACTATTTTTTATTGACGATGGCTAGAGACTTTCAGTTTTCACCATCATATAGCTAATTAAAATAATTTAGAATGAATGAAAACTTTCAGAATATAGTGAGATGAACATGTTCTACCTGAACGTCATGGCAAAATTCTAAAAGAACTTGTTTTCCGAGAAGATTTTCTGATACTCTAGCTCGACATCGAGTGCAGTATAACCAGTCTCTTGTCTCTTTTTTAAGCGCCATATCGTATGACTGATACAAAAACTAGTGTATTCTGAAATTTTTAACTCATTCTATAAAATATTTTGATGAATTATGAATTTTCTAATTTTTAGTGAAAGTCAGAAACGGACGAGTACGGCCGGACTGCATTTATTTCGAAGGCATTTTGAGTTAGATATGCCGCAGGATAAAATATTCTAGGAGAGAAGTCAATGTCATGTCCGACTACGGTCGAGTCGAGAATGAAGCCAAAAGATCCTTACAAACGTGTCATTTTTACTCTCATCCCCGTTTATAATGCTTTGCAAGCAGTATCAGTCAGACTTGACATTGAACTTTTAGTATGACTTCTCTCCTAAAACAGTTTGCCCTGCGGCATGTCTGACTCAAAATGCCTTCGAAATAAATTCAGTATGGACTATGGGGTCACATTATGCATTTTCCCCATGATGGGCAGACATGTCACTTTTATTGGCCAGAAACAATTTTTTTCGCTTGAATACAACTGACTATCCCTCAGAGAGTCATTTCAGAGCAAAAAACAGTTTTTTCTGATGAAAATATCCCTGCGAGGTGTCCTTGCCCCAATTTTTTATAAAAAGTTTCTTGTTTAAAGATTTTTTACGCTGATTCAGAAAATAATCTTAGTTTTGGGTTAAAAGTATTTATGGATCGAGAAAATTCGATTTTAGCTGGAAAATCTTTACCGAAGTTCAGGATTAATCGCGCGTTTGTCAAAACAAAGTTTGAGCGATTTTGAAGATAAGGACAAGAAGGGATGCTTACTGTACTGAGGATAGCCGTACGAAAACATTGTTAGTTTGTTCATTTTCTCTCTCGAACTGTTTAATAGGAAATTGAGAAATTTTCACCGGCTTCGTAATATGCAAAAACTTCAAAACCACATTTTCATACGCAGTTTGTAATGCTGATTCAGAAAAAAAAAATTCGTTATTGTATAGCTAAAAGCTTCTAGATGCAGAATATCTGTCGTTCAAGTATGTAATTTTGACAGATTGAATTAAAAAGAACATTTTCCGGCCACATCTGTGCTTTTAGACCCGTTGAGCCAAGGGTTCTCCGAAGAACCTTAGCAATTGAAACAAAACTTTTAACGTCGTTAGATAGCCAATCTATTGAAGTAAATTTATTCACATTCAAATCTTGAAAATACGCATGTTCGATGTTTGGCTAAATGCCAGGATGGATGCACGCTGTGGGACTGGGCTCGGCAATCGGACTCTCCTATCTATAGTGAAAGTAGCAGACATAGATCGTGCATATTTTTTAAATCGGATTTTGCTAGATTTTTCGAATTTTTTCCTCAAATCGATCATTGCTACAAGGCTCAGCGAGGGCGATAACCTAGAATTTTCTTCGTTTTTATGGTCACTACCACCAAAGTATAAGCTTTTAGGTAGGATGGGTTCCAGCAAAACTGCGACCTTATGGTCTTGTTTTTTGTCCTGGAAAACGGCTTTTGAAAAAGTTTATCAGACCCTGTTTGCTTAAGAAAGAAGACAGTCACGCTTTGTCTACACAATAGTGAAAACCACAACTCTCTTATCGTCAATAAAAGTTATTTGGTAAATAACCGACAGTACTACTTTTGTGAATGGATAATAACTGTTTCTTTCTAGTAGAAGAGTGAAATTTGACTGAATGAGACATTAAATAAAACTATATAATGAGTCGAAATCACTATTTATTGCATCAGTTAAGGGTCCCCCCCCTCAGAAATGATGATTTTCGGTCAAAAAATCGGTTTTGAGATACACACATGAAAAGACAGCCTGAAGTGTCTACTTCCAGAATCTGTATTGTTTTTGGTTACTAAAGTTTTCGGGATTTTGAGCAAGTTTTCTAAGAGCCTCGAAAAAATGGGTCTTCAAATAATGGTTTTTTCCTGGATACTTATGCAATTAAAATTTTTCTGAAAACACAGCTTTGTAG